TTTGTGGACACGTATCGGTTCAGCCGTTTTGACGTTTATTGGATACAAACAAACAGACAGACAAGCCAAATTTATATATAGATAAACATATCAGTTCAACTGTTTTAGTTATGATTTATAATATAAACCTATCAGATCAACTGTTTTAGTTCAGATTTATAATATAAACCTATCAGTTTAATTGTTCCGGTTCATATTTAGGATTTGAACATATCAGTTCAACTGTTTACCCGGCCGTTATAGTTCAGAATCAAGGACCGAACTTGAACTGCTTAAATCTAAACCCCATAACCCTATCTTTCTTAGATAGATATAACTAAATGTGTTCAACCCAAACCATATTTTCTGCAACCTGAAAAGTCTGCGGGATGAATTGGTCCCACGGTCCCCAGACCTTTAATCCTGGTATCCTGGGGTAACTAGAGATTAATCCCGGAGTTTAAGGTTTGGATCAAGGTCTTTCCTCATTATTCTCCAGTTTTCCGTTTCTATCATGCTACAAAATAAGTTTATGAATGTACACTGAACAAGGTTTACAACAATACTTTGAAATCTAAGGAAGGATTGCCTTTACCTTAAATTGTAAATTGAGTTCTAAATATATAAATTCAGATAGAATAGTTAAATCTGGGTTCAAGGTTGTTAGCTGTAAGATAAAATCAATGTTAGATTAAAACTATAAACTCGCTTCCAGTATATCTCCAGTATTGTACTAACTCTTTCAAATTCAAACCCAGCTCAAGGTTTGATGTCAAGACTCCAGGTTGGAGAGATACTACTACATTCAAATATTCCAAGGTTTAGTCTTACATTGACAGTATCTAGTGATCTCTCGGCAGTAAACTCTTCACTAGACAAGAGCATGAATGTACTGCTTGTCTGCCTGTTTCTATATTGCTTGTACATTAAATAAAATGGCCTATTTAAACCTTGAGTTCTATTGTTTTCGACTTTTACGGGCTTTCAATTTGAATTGGTACTTAAACAGAATTTGTTTTTCCGCAACTGTTTATTTCAGCTACAGAGTACAGAGCGTCTCACTAAACAAGAGAATTGAAAGACTTCTTGAAGATCGTCTTTGATCTCTTCAATGAAAAGCTTGCGTAATAATGGTTGCACTCCTAAAAGCTTTTGGAGAGGAGTTGGATGATGGAGAGGGTTGGATGACGGAAGGATGGAGAGGGTTGGAGGATGGAAGGATGGAGAGAGTTTGAATAATGGAATAATGGAAAAGGGTTGAATGATGGATGAATGGAGAGAGATGTTGGAGGATGGGAGGATGGAAGCATGGAAGGATGGAGAGGGGTTAGATGATGGAAGAAAGAGAGAGGGGTCGGTTCTCCTAAATTGATTAAATTATATTATTTCCATCTATCATTATGTAATTGATTGGACGGTTTGGTTTCAGTATTATTATCATTAAAGTCATCTTGTGTTGTCTGTAGGTGGTAGGGTAGACACACTAGACAGATTTTCAAATATAAAATAACACCAGGCCCACTCCTATTGCAAGGGGGGAGGATAAAATTAATATTTAAAAACGAAATGATTAGGCCAAACCAAATGTAAAGATTGTTTACCTTAGAAATCCCACCCAGAAAAAATGCAAGGATTTCCTAATCAGTGGGGTCACAGATACCCCCCCCCGCATTGAGAAAAGTCAAATTGTAAATTATCACTCAGAGCTCCGCCATTCGAACAAAAATAAGATTACAAGCAAATTGTAATTTTAAATTTAGATAACGAGAGACAGTTCAGAGAGACGAATGAATTGAAAGCAAACAAAAAAAGAAAGATGCCAGGACGGAGAGAGAGAGAAAAAGACAGGTTTAAGCATACAGAGTTCAGGAAGATTGATGATAGAGAGGTTGGGCAAAAACTAAGATTAGCCTGGAGATGCTTGTTTAGATAAATAGGATCGGGACACAGAAAATGTCAAGAACTCAAAATCATTCAGAGGGGGGGGGGGTTGTATTGTCTTTGGGCTGAGACAGCATAGTTATTGATATCTGTATTCAAATTAGGAATAAGATTTATGCAAACAAATAATTTTATATCTTCTCAAGTTGGACCAATGAACCTAATAATGATTATCTCAAGCTTACTTTAAAGCTAAGGGGATACTCTAGTAGAATAGAAAGGATAGAGGGGAAAAATAGGGGGTTTAGTTTAGAGATTTTGATAACTTTTTTGACGATTAACTTTAATAATCAATCGTTCAAGAAAATCTTTATAAAATTAATTCTTAAAAAAATTATCAAAGTTTTTAATTTCATTTGCAAAGAATTCTAAGTATAATTTACGTGAAAATGATATATTTTTTAGAAATATACTTTATTCATTCCAGGAAGCCTTAAAGACATTTATGTGCAAATGTCATGAAATCATTATTTTTGTTTAAACAAAGATAATAATTGCAGCGTTCCGTTAAACACGTCTAAACTGGCCAGTTTATAAAAATAATATAAAACGTTATTTTAAAACGTAATTCAGAGAAATTGTGTAAAATTTAGTATATGTTAATACTGTCCTAAATATTCAGAATTACAAGGAGTAAGATTAGGTTTGCGCAGTATGACCTGCCACCCGGAGATTTACGCTTTTACAATTCTCCAGAAAATCCGGAAAAATTTACAGGTTCCGCGTAATTCTTTGATGTTTTTCCAATTTATAATATTGTTTACATCACCACCCTGGGATACAAGGAGATGTTTAGAGTTTAAAACTTTTAAATAAGGATTTTTTTCCCATTTAGAAGGTACAAAATGTAAATATGATAAAATGGTTACCAACATACGATGAGACTGTAGGTACAAGGGGAAAATTACCTTTCATACTCTTTATTACTCTCCAATTCTCCTTATTATTCTCTGATTCTCTTTAGTACTCTCTGATTCTTTTTAGTACTCTCTGATTCTTTTTTATACTTTCTGATATTCTTTGATGCTCTCTGATTCTCTGTGAAGTCTTTGATTCTCTCTGATGTTATTTAATTTTCTCTGAAACTCTCTGATTTCCTTTTTTTACTCTTTGGAAATCTCTGATTCTAGCTATGATACTTTCGGATTTACTCTCTGATAATCTTCGCTATTATCTAATTTTGTTTACTCTCTGTTAATCTCTGAAATTCTCAGATTTTCTCTGATTTCCCATGATAGTCTCTGATTTTCTTTTTTACTCTCTGATAATTACTGATTCTCTAAGTTACTCTCTAATTCTCTATGACAATCTCTAATTCTCCAAGATGCTCTCGACTAACCTCTATACTTCTTTAAAGTTTGCGTGCCCTTCTGTTCGTGTGTTTTATCGACTCCGGATTTCATGTTTCGTGAGACGGCCATCATTATTCCAATTTGTCTCATTATCGATATTTTACAATCAATTCCTACATTCAAACCTCTTGTAATCTACGCCATTTGTCGAGAAAAATTACGATTAATAAATAGTTCTTTGTATTCAGCACTTTTCTCTTCTCAAACTCCGTGCACACGTATTTCATAAAATGCGCGCGAAATTATTTATCAAGAAAATCTTGTTTTTAGCACTAATTAAATTACAAAAGTTTTAAATATTTTTAAAAAGAACATGATTATGGAAATATTAGCAAGCATTACATAAAAACTGATATCTGTCTTAATTTTTATTTGTTATATCACCACGAGTTCTTGTCTAATCATCACTTCTGACTCAATATTATTTGAGTTTTTGATCTATAAGAAGAAAAATAATAAATTTCATTTTTGTGCAATCTGAACTTCCAATTTTAAAAGATATCTTTGTTTAAATTTAATTTCACTTCATTTCCTGGCATTTACAATTCTTTCCTTTCTTCAAATTTGAATGTAAAATTGAAAAAAAGCAGAAGGGTAGCCCATTGTAATTGTATCAAGAATCCTTGTCAGCTCTGTATGCCAACCAGTACCTAGAGAATGAATCGTGGTATCATGAATATTAAACCCAGAGCTTGCATCTGTTGTTGAGAATAGTATTCAAGCAACCAGGTATTGGGTCTCATAAACTTGAAAAAGTATCAATTAAGAATATAATTGAATGAGGTAGGGTTGAGAACCTCCAAGGTTTACTCTCTTTGTTTCTCCGAACATGAACCTGAGAATCGTGAACTTAACTTAAATTGATTCACGAAGTAATTTTTCAAATGATCTACTCTCGACACCGACGCATTTAAGTACCCCCCCCCCCCACCTACTTCAATTTTCTTAGTAAACCCCCCTCTGTCCAATTTATCTTCTTTGCGATTCTTCTCTTTAATTTAGGTTCAACCGTACCTTAATTTTCAAATCAGTGATCTTGGGATTAATGCCAAGGAATTCATCTAATAAATGAAGATTGAGTTAAGATATGGAAACAAAGAGTTGAGATGTGTGTCTAGTGAATATCTGAATGGGTGGATCTTATTAAGGTTGACTGAGTGAGGATTGGGGTTAGGTTAATATCAACATTCTTTCTCAGGATCTCATGGAATCCTTCCCTAATAATAGGGCTGAAACTATTTATAACATTTTGATGGAAATGTCAGATAAAATCTGATTCATGGTTTGGTCACTCACACCTCATCTCTTTCATCCATCCGAGCCCTGTTCTGCCTTGAACCATAAATATTTGTGATCCTTTGTCCTCGTCGCATTTAGTATGAAATGCAATAGCTTTTAGTATGTTAGTACCTGTATTTGCATGGCAAAGGTTAGAACGAGCGCAATAAACATAAACATGCCGCGCCGCACCTCAAATACTTTCCTCTCGTCTTACTTTACAGCATAGTATTTCAACTGCAATCAAAGTTTTTAACTCTTCAACTTTCTAAACCAAAATAATAGGAATGCTGCATAGAGAGATTAGATTAAGCAGAGCCAAAAGTAAACAAAAGTTATTGGTTATTACAAACTAGAAATCAGTTTGTTGTACAATTAATTGTGTTATCTATGACACTGAAAACGATGATGATAGATGCAATCAATTAAATAAATGTTAGAATGACCAGTTAAGAAATAAAATGTTCTTGGAAGATTAAAAATAAAGAGAAAGAAAATATGTTGGGCCAAAAACTATAACATTCAAAACCTAAGGATTTCTAAACATTGATGTTTGGTATAAATTCAGTTTTTTTTTATCAATTCCTAATTTGATAACCTTTTATCCTTTTTATGCATCCGCTCTTTTCCCTCTCTCCATTTATCAGTTTCATAAGTTCCTTCTGTTTTAATGTTCGGCTCTGTTCATTCATTTTTCTTCTTCACTTTCTTTTTTTCATATTATCTCTCTCCCTGTAGACATTCCATCCCCTCTCTCTTCATGTATCTATTCCATCCCATCCTTCATGTATCCATTCCATCCCCTCCTTCATGTATCCATTCCATCCCCTCTCTCTTCATGTATCCATGCCATCCCCTCTCTCTTCATGTATTCATTCTATCCCCTCCTTTATGTATCTATTCCATCCCCTCTTTCTTCATGTATCCATTCCATCTCCTCTCTCTTCATATCCATTCCATCCCATCTCTTCCTGTATCCATTCTTTACCCTCTCTCCATGTATCCAACCCATCTCTCCATGTTTCCATTCCATCCCATCTCTCCATTCCATACCCTCTCTCCATGTATTCATTCTCTCTCTCCGTGCATCCATTCCATCCCCTCTCTCACTGTATCCATTCTCTCTCCATGTATCCATTCCAACCCCTCTATCCCTACCAATCCCTTCCATTCACTCTCTTCATGTATCCATTCCATCCTCAATCTCCATGCTTCAATTCCATCTCTCTCTCCATGTATCCATTCCATTTCCTCTCTCCATGTATTCATTCTATACCCTTTCTCCATGCATCCGTTTCATCCCCTTTCTCCTTGTATCCAATTCATCCACTCTCTACATGTATCCATCCCATTCCCTCTCTCCATGTATCCATTCCATCCCTTCTCTCCATGTATCAATTCCATCCCCTCTCTCCCTGTATCCATTCCATCCCCTCTCTCCCTGTATCCACTCAATGCCCTCTCTCCCTGTATCCACTTAATACCCTCTCTCTATGTATCCATTGCATCCCCTCTGTCCCTATATCCATTCCATCCCCTCTCTTTATGTATCCATTCCATACCCTCTTTCCATGCATCCATTCAATCCCCTCTCTCCCTGTATTCATTCAATCCCCTCTCTCATTGTATCCGTTCTATCCCCTCTCTCCCTGTATCCG